TTAGAAGTTTTGAGGTTGAACACGGGTATTAAGGAAGAAAGTGAAATTAAATGTTTGAAGGTTATGATTGGTTGAGAATAGAAAGTAGGTCGGCGAATTAAGAGTTGGAAGGTAAGGATTGGTAGGGAAGAGAATAAATTATTATATTTTGGGACAAATCTTATATGCTACCGTTGTAATATTCTAGGACGGAGTACTCACTACTTTTTAAAAAAAAATACAGTCTTCAAATATATTTTTGGCTACATTTTTTATTATAATATTTATAATAAATAAATATATTTTTATTTTTATTATAATATTTTGTAAGATAAATTTATTTATATTGTTTTAGTCTCTTTGAATTAAATACTTTTAACATTAATAATAGTTGAAGTTGTAAAAGTTTGATAAAGTAGATCTCACATTTCAGTGATCATTTAATTTACGGGCCGATTGATCTAGACAAATTTGACAAATTTAATTGACAGTGACAACATACTGCATACATCCATGGTTTGGGTATCACTTTCGAGACAATGAATGTCTTGCTCGGTCATGCAAAAACTACTCCCTCCGCCAAAAAAATAAATAAATAAATCTTGGTTTCCGTGTCCAATATTTGACCGTCCGTCTTATTTGAAAAAAATATGAAAAAAATTAAAAAGATAAGTCACATATAAAGTATTAATCATGTTTTATTAACTAACAGTAATGAAAATACTAATTATAAAAAAATTTCATATAAGATAAACAGTCAAATGTTGGTACGAAAATTTAGGTTTTGACTTTTTTTTTGGACGGAGGAAGTAGGTGGTAAGGTAGGTTGACCGTATTAATTTATGATTGCTGATATTGCTGATAGCGGTTATTTTTAAAAGTTTAAAAAGTTCGGTATTGTTTTCTTAAAAGTATATTAAATAATACTCCCAAAATGCGCCATACTACGAAATAAATTATTTACATGCATGTGTGCTTATTTAGTAAGATTAACAAATATCTATTATTAATACTAGTCGCCTACCCACACGTCGCACGGGCTATTGCTACTAATACTATAAATATTAATAATTTAATCATATGGTGAATACATCATGTTCTAAAAAAAATAGGAGTAAATCGCATCCACGGTACATAAACTTGGTAGGTGGGTACGATCTAGTGTAACAACTTGAAAAATAATCATTTAGATGCAACAACTTGACTAGTAAGTGTATTCTGGCTAAAAAATCAATATTAGACACCACACCTTTTAAGCCACTTAGTAAAAAAGCAGTCGTCGTTGCCAATAATCTAATAAGTATAATGACTGTCAAATAATAATGGTCTAGATGTATGGTATTTGCTTGCTTATAATAATAAATAACCTATCAATTTGAAACCGAAAAATATAATGATCGTTAAAACTAAGTGCATAAGAATTGTTGTAACATAATTTCCGAGCGATTCTACTAGTCAAACATATTCAATTGTACTTGTGACCAATAATATAGTAGTCATGCTTATAATAGAACAAACAAAATAGGTTGAATTATATGTACGTAATAGCATTGCATTTTGACCAAAATACACTTGATTGTCAAATTCATGTACCGGTCTGTATATTTTTAAAGTTGTTGCACTAAATTGCACACACCTACCAAGTTTTTTACTACTGATGCAATTTACTAAAAACTAGTAACTTAAGTTAAAAGAAAAGTCTCTATTAGTTACAACTTTTTAAAAAATTCATGACATAGCTTCCACTGAGATTACTTAAGTACTTGCAATGTTAATTATACTGCTTTTCATTTGACACTACTTCTTGGTTCACTTTCTCGTTCGAGGCTTTGACGTCACATTAAAAGTAGATCCGATGTGTTTTAAAAAGGCACATGACGCTAGCTTAATAGATTTTACAATCGGCACTTAAGATAATACGATCATCTAATCAACATCTAAATATTTGTCATCAATGTGAGAGCTCACAGAAAATACTCCCTCCATATACCTTTGATAGTCATATTTTTAAATCTGAAAATATTATTTTGATAGGCATATTTCAATCTAACAACTTATCATCTTAATGGCTTTCTTGAATTTAATACGTAGCTCTCCATTCTTCCACACAAGATTGGTTACATGGGCATCGAGAAATATAAATATTAATGAATCGTTTGTTTACGAAGAATGACTATGATAAGTAGAATCACTTATCCTTGGTCTGTGTGTTAAGATGAAATATGACTATCAAAAGTAGATAGAGTAGTTAATTATTAGAGGTACATAGGGAGACAACATGCAAATTCGACTTGATAGATAAATAACACATTCAAGCCATTCAATAAGAAAAAAGTCAGCAAAAAAGTAATTATTCCAATCAAAATCAGAAATCGAGTATCGTCCTACAAATAGGCCGCCAAATTAATACTCACAAATGCGACGATAGAGATGTGCAAGCAAATTTTTTTTTGTTTTGTTGATGAAAGCATCTTCTTGACGACTGAAATTTATTGGATTGGATGATGGCCTATCTGATGTCGTAATTAGCCCACAGGTCGGTGTCGTTTCTTTATTAGAAATCAATCTTATGCTTGAGTAAAAAAAAAAATATGTACCTTATTATTCCAATCAAAACCAAAGATCGAATGCATCCTATGCCACTAAATTAATTAATGCTGTCAACTTCATGCGACGTCGATAGAGATTTCCAATCTACTGATTGACTAAAATTAGTACGTACGTGCCTGCTGGACTTCAAATTGGAGACTGTTCGTCCCCAATTGAGATGAATGACGGCTGCAGCGTGATGCGCTTCATTAGCGAAGTAGGAGTTCAAATTAATCATCGTTAAGTTGCCGCTCGGTATGAAACCATGAAGCGAAAGAAGTACATCGTGCATCACTCGTGAGTCGCAGCTTCCAGCCAAACTCTCTCTCGTTCGTGCCCTCTGTAAGTGCGCTTGGAGATTTGAATGGTCAATCGATAACTGCAACTTGAGATACGGTAGATGGGCTATGAAAAAAGCCAGATTGGCCCACAACGTTAAAGCTTCCTATAGGATATCTACGATGGGAGTACTTATACATCTTTTGAAAGATTTTTATGATCGTATCACACAGATTTTTAATCTTTGGATTAAAATCTGATAGATATAATAAAAAGCAAAAAACAATTAAGAAACACCATAATGGACACTAAATTACCATATCCTCAAGAAAAAGACCAAATCCAATACAAAATTTAAAATTTACATGCGAAGATTCAAAAATTACAGTGCAACTTACAAAAGTTACAGTGTAAGTTTTATAAATTACACTGTAACTTATAAGAAAATGCACTGTAAATTTGAGTGAGAAAATCGAGTGAGAGATAAGAAAAAATCTTTCGAGTGAGATATAGCAAAATCGATCTACGATCTAGATTAGATCAAATGACTAATCAACGGTTACAGTTTTCTAAAAAAATATTAAATTAGTATTGGTGTAGATTTATTAGATTTTAGAGGAATAGGAGGGCCTAAAATCCAAGCTACTTCTAGCTTTTCTATGAGAGATTAAAATTCTGCAAAAGGACTATTAAATGAGGGGGTGTTTGAGGATTGAGAAGGTGTGTTAGAGGTAAAGTTGAGTCAAAATTAGTGGTTGGTGGAAAAAGTTTAAGAAAATGTTTTTACTCCATAAATGATCAGGTCTATTTGATTTATACAAAAGACACAGTAAATCGAAGATTTGGCTTTATGTGATGGCCCACTTTCAAAAATAAAAGTGAAATTTCATCACTCAAGAGATTCTTGTGACAATATTGTGACGAATTTAACTCGACACAAAAGGTGCCTCTGGGCGCAACTTCTATGATCAAAAGGGTTCATGGTTGTGACTTTATTTTAGTCATCTGAACTTAATGACTTTGCAAATTGTCAATGTTTTCAGCGAAAAATGTAATAAATCAGCTGTTGCGGTACCACCATGTAGACAACCTGATGACAGGTATTCAATGAGCTAGCGCCTCCTCTGTCCTCCTGGCTCCACCCCTCGCCTTTAGCATTGGGAGTTGATGAGGAAGAAAGTGGGGGCTGCTCGTGATAGGAGTCAACTAGCCAAGAATTCCTCTTTCATTGATTTCAATCAAGAAATAATTTATTTACTGCTCACTTGATTACTTGAATCTTGAATCAATGTTCTATCTGGATTACTTGAGCTTCCCTATTCTATTGTGTGTTGTAACGATCTTTGGTCTATTCTTGTTCTTTTCTCTGATCGATGAACAGTCTTGGTCTGAGATTCTAGAGTTGTGTATATTCCATATGTGATTTGTATGACTAGAGTTGCAGATAATTTTTCTATAGATGTTCTTTCGATATAACTGATCATGTAATAGTTATGGTAGTTGATGTAGCCGCAAATAGCCGAAGGCGAAAAAAATTACACCATGTTGAGACGAAGCTACAGTCATTAAAGTAGCACCTTGCACCTTATAGATATCAGGGTATGCTATTTGAGATATCTTGTGGATGTTAGGGAACGTCATTGGCGATGAGGCCACTACTTTATTACTACTAGAAAAATAATTTATCGCCACGAAAAAAATCGTAACATCAATGCTAAAATTATGGCAATAGATACATGTCGTCACAATCTTAAAATCGTTGTTAGCCGTGGTAATAGATTATTGCAACGATTTTTATTTAGTTGTAACAAATTTTGATATTGCCATAAAATGGATGTGGCAAAAAAATATTGCAACACTTCACATTGTTGCAATAGATAACTATTGCCACCACTCCATGTGTGGCATTAGTTCTATGTACCAAATTAAATATTTTATTGTCAATTTATCATCCTAACTATTTTCTTTTGATATCTTGTCATGGCTAGGATTTGAACCCAAGATCTCTCTCACGCGCGCTCTCCATTACCAACTCACATACGCATCAATTTTGTTTAAAAATGCATATCATTCCATTTGAGCCTGCCTACTGAGATTTGAATCATAAATTTGAGTATTTAAAAGATTTCAAATGAAAAGGTTAAGTCAAACTATGAGATGATAAATTTTTTTATTGCAACGAATTTATTTATCGTGGCAACAAAAGTACCATGTACTATGCAAATAGCCACATAAATTAAAATTGTGGTGATAGAACATGCTTTTTGCAATAGTAATGTTTTTTTGTGGCAATAGCTCATTTCCTATTGCAACAAAAATACTGAATAAAACAACGATTATAAATGGTTGCAACAAAATATAGTTATTTGCCATAGAAAAATTATCATTGCGATAATATAATATATTGCTACGAAATATTTTTCGTTATAATAAATTGGTGGCGATAGCTCAATTATCTTGCAGTCTACGACTTTCTATGTCGTGTAGCAGTCATCAAAATAGTGATGCCGAGTTGATGGAGACATTGTTGTTGTAGATGATATGATCGATGTCATCATCGGTGATGCGGTCGTTACCATCATAGAGGATGCAGTCGATGTCATCGATGAAGCTATTGAATATATAAGCACATATTTATTTAATTTATTCCATAAATAAATCAAGATATTAAACATAAACTAGTATAATCGCGTCATAGATCTACACGTATAAACTAGATAGTAAAACGTAACATATCGAATATGCGAAACATTGTTAGTACATACCAAGGGTTCTGGATGTTCTGCTGCACAACAGGAACCACTCGCGGTACCGGGTGTTGACGACAGCACGCATCACTCGAGCAATGAGGAGCCGTAGTTGACGAACAACAAGAAGTCACGTGGAGCGCTTCCCAAAAACCTTTTTTGAGACCTGCTCTCCTAATAACCAGTACACGCCGGCGAGCTGGACGGGGGATGGAGTTGCTCCGACGAGTGGGATGGAGTAGACTATGAGCGATGTCGCCATACAAAGGAGCCAAGGAAGCAAACTCTAGATTGATTTCACCGGTGAGTGGCATCACGGTTTATATAGAGAAGCATGAGGAGCCCATTTTGGTGAACCATTCACGCGCATGTCACATGCGTGCCACTCAACCCGGCCAAAGCCAGACGAGGGAAGCAAGCGCGCGTGTGTTTCTCTAGTTCTCTCCACCACGTATGCCTTAAGTGGCTAGGAGAAGGAGAGCACTTAAGGAGAGTTACTCTTTTAGAGTCACTCTTTTAAAATAGACAAGGTGGTACTAAAAATTCACATGCATGCTATCCGTAAGGTGGGCTTTTGTGATTTTTTAAATAATTAATTCTTATATAGGTCTTAGCCCACCTATTAACTCCAGCAGAAACGTCTCGTAGATATATGAATCAGTCAGATAACTCGAGATGCCCATATTTATGAACGAAGCGGCCGGCGTCGAGCTCATAGACTGTTGTTGAAGATCATTAATTGGTGATGCAGTGTCGGCAATGACAAACGTACGTGCGATGTAGAGGAGGTAGCTAGTAGCTTAGCCTGCGGCAGTGTCGGCATTGACAAATGTAGCTAGAGGAGGTAGCAGCCAGATGCAAAGTGTCGGCAATGAGAAACGTGTGATGTAGAGAGGAGGTAGCAGCTGCTTGCCGTAGGGACTTGGCGAAGATGATCGACGACGCCGATGGCCTGTGCACCATGTACGTGCTTCTCCTCTCAATTGTGAGTAGATGGATCGTAGTACTCGATGGCTCCTTCAATTCAATTCGTGGGCGTCCTGGCGTTGCCATCTCTGCTGTCCCGACGACGCAGACGAACGACACGTACGGCGCCGTTCATGCCGCTGCGCTAGCTTCAACTCCTGCACGAAGAGAATTACCATGCCATTTTCTAAAATTCGAAAAACTAATCTAATAATGCTAGTTTTGATAGGTAGCCGAACGTGCATGCAAGGCGAAGGCGCCCTGTCATTATATATGCTTATTTGTTTTTTCATATGGATTATGTTTGTGTTTTTCTCTGTATTGTAGCACAAAATAGCTTTAATTTTAGCATCTTCAGAGTGTCTTAGGCAACTAGCCAATGTCCTAGCTAGGTCGATCAATTCCAGATTACTCCATGTTTGTTTCTACTGAATACTGATACATACTACATCAAAATGGACTAGTTGCCGATGCTGTACCTATCAAGCATCAACCGTGGTCCAGCTGACGAAGATTTCCTCAGTATCCAGGGTACAGTTGTTTATATCTAATCTATCTATGAGCACGTACGGCACTAAGCGCTACCGCTTATTAATTCAGCGCAATAGAAAGGCCACCTAGGCACCTGAAGGCTTCTTGATGACTCAGTTAACACATAAAGTATATATCATAGTAGTAAGATTATGCGATGAGCAAGTTGCAGAAAGAAACGAGGTTTAATCAATGAGGCAGCTGAAAGGCTACGTCAGGGTGGGCAATTAGTACGCAGGAATTTGGCTTCTTAGATACTCGTTGGACTGTGGTTCCGAGTGTCCATTTTCGATCTGACAGATCGTTAAGGCCGGGGCTAGTATCGTATGTACTCCTTCCGTCAGCATATATATACTTGTCCAGATCGATGCTGATCAGATTTCTTTATATTTGTGGACCGAATGTAGTAGCTTTTTTTCAGCAGACTGTTTGCCAACAGTCGGCTCACTTTGGGGCTTGGAATTGTTCTTCAGATTATTCAGTGAACTTCAACATAAACTTAATTATCATGTTGCATTTTTTTAAAAAAAACAAAAGTACTGGAATAGCATACCTATAATGAGGACACATATAGCAAACTTGAAAGAAAAAAACATAGAGAGGCCGATGTAGTCATCATTAGCTACCACTACAGAATTAACAATGGCTAAAACATGCTTAAACAAATCCTATGGTTCTAACAATAAAGATGACAATAATAATGATAAACAACAGTGGATCTAGCTTACCGGTGATGCCACTGGTTCTTCAAGTAGCTCTAATGGCAACTGGACATACGGAAGCCTTGCTTTGAACATTGATGATGAACACTAGAGATGGTATTACCAGATGATGCCCAGTGAATTAGAATGGAAAGCAAAAATCACGTGCTCTCTTTGATTGCTTGCTATCTTTTAAGTACTGGATGTTCGGCTGGTTCTCGGAAGATGCAGAGGCTCGATGGGTGCAGATCCCTTAGAGTTAGTGCCAAATCCACCGGGTGGATTTTAGGTGATCCAAGCCATTGATTGATTTCAACGGATCAGATTAAGCAAGTTACTTACTTCTTCCCATCTATACGAGTGCACACCACATTCTAATTATTTACTTTTTTTCTAGAATATAATAAACATCAGGAGCAGATCAAATAATATGAGTTGTTAGATACATATTTCCTAGGGAATGGAGACTGTAATATTACCACAGGTTGATTGAAACATGGCACATGCATGATACATTCATTATGCTATTTAACTCTAAGTATATAGCTCATCGGCACAGAGATAGCAAATCAAAACGCTATGATTAATCATTATGAACCGCGTGAAGGAAAATTTTTAGTATACAATGTCTTAATGTCATATCAAGAGATTGGTAGAAAATTCTTGGCATGCTTCAGCTCTCGTGCATGAGATTTGGCAAGAAGAAGGTGACGTGGCTACATCTAGCTAGCTCCTAGAAAGTAACTAATGGTTCAGATTTGTTGAAATCCACCCGGTGGATTTGGCACCAACTCCAGGGGATCTGCACCCGAGGCTCGATGGTTTCCATTTTTTTCTGGAAGATTAAGAGGCTCTACACTTCTATAGTTTCCAAAAATTATATGGCCTCTAAATGGTGCAATTAAAGGAGGAAAACTGAATGGGCTGGAATGCATTGGCCCAATTAGGATGGAAGGTGATATGCAAACCGATTGGACTTTTTCAGTGCGCATAAGTTATTTGGATGGGCAAATCAAGGATGACAATCTTGGATGTCTGATGCAAATCCAGTAGCTAGATTAATATAAGATGACATGGATGACTGTGAGAACAGAGAATTAAAATTAATTGCACTTAGTAGGGAGTAACTTTATAGGGTACATATAAACTTTGTATATATACAATTATACACACACCTATGCAATAGTTCATACATGTATAAATTTTATGTGTATGTATATATATCTCTCTACTATATATACAAACTTTGTATTCGCACATATAAATTTTGTATTTATACATGCAAAGTTTATATGTATGCGTATAAACTTTGCATCCATATGTATAGGTATAAAACTTATATTTATGTATCATTTGTTTATATATGTATATTTTTTATTTTTGTGTATCTATACAAAATTATACATATAAACTCTATATGTGTACGTACAAAGTTTATACGTGTGTACAAACGTTTGTATTTGTTTGATTTTGGCCCAGCCCAGGGAAAAGAGAGGAGAACGAACATGTGCTGGGCCAACATGATATGACCAATAAGGAAAAAATTGCATATGGGCCAACATGAGCTGGACAAAAAAGAAAAAAAGAAATTGGACTGCAGTCAATTTGATGAAAGAGTTAATTTGATGCATGCCATTGCAAATATGACTATTCAGATCAAAGCCATTACAATTTGCTTATTCGTAGCCGCTTATATTTTCACAAAATTAAAACCATACCATCGCCGTCAAGCTTTTCATCTTCTTATACGTGGGACCCACCCATCAGATTCATCTTTTTCCTCCATATATACTCATTTCTTCTTTCTTCACAGGTAGAGGAGAGGGGGCGTTGATGCTCCGGTGGCTAGGAGGTGGCGACGCTTCTTTCTTCACATTGTTCTAGTGAAGACGACGATAAGAAAATGATCAGCACGGCGACAAGGTCCTTGAACACCGGCCGCTCGATCTGCAGCACGGCGTCGCCTACCTCCGCGCTAGGGAGGCCACGCTGCTGCTGCAACGACGTTGGCCTGCGGTGGTGGTCAGCGGCGAGGTCGCGCACGCCACCGCTGCGGGTCAGCTCATTCAGGTGCAGGTCGGTGTCCGGCAGCGCCACAGGGCTCACGCGCGCGCCTCACCTCGGCTTAGAGCTCGTCAGCGAGGAACGCCACCATGTCGAGCACGGACACCGGGCTTGTCTACTAGTCGTCGCCGGCCGTGAACGCCTGGATGCTGCTCAGCAGCTTGCCTCAGCGCTGGAGCAATCCACGGTCACTCCGGAGATCGTCGGGGAGGGTGCGCTGCTACATTGCAAAGAGCCAAAGATTCCAGTGCTCTGGTGGCTGGGAGCACCGACGCCCTGCTCCTTTCCTCCTTGTTCTCTGCCTGTGTTCACAGAGAGAAGAAACGAAGAAATGGTAGAGAGAGCTGAAAATAAACAGGGGAGGATGAAGGAAGAAGATGAATCTGACAGATGGATCCCATATACAGATGAGGGAGAAGATGGAAAGCTTGACGGCGGTGACATGGTTCTAATTTTGTAAAGTATAAGTGGCACGGCTACCAATAGACGAATTATAATGCATTTATCTGAATAGCCACATTTGCAATAGCATGTATCAAATTAACCCAAAATAAAATTTGTGGGTGATCGTGCATGACTAGTCGCTTATTAGGTTTCTCGACCAGTGATGTGTTATGTCTCATATCCTCATCTACAATGGGTTTTATTTGGACCCTGTCATATATTATTATTTTTTTTGAATTGGTCACCGGGGGGAGACCTTCCCCACCTGTATTCGCATTAAAAGGAAACAGGAAAGATAAGGTACATAGCAATTACAAATTCAGAGATCGAAGGGAGGAAGAGAAAATGTCTTTCCAGACAGAGACCACAATTCGATCATCCACCTTAAGCCTCTCTGCCCATAGCATTGCATCCTCAATGCATTTCACTAGTAGGCGATACAAGGATATTGCTTCATTTCGGGAAACTACGCTACGACGATGATTCCACAGGTTCCAAAAACATAGCAAGTAGAAGATCTTGTAGCGCCTTGCTGGGATCTGCGCCCTGTGTCATATATAAGGTCATCTGGAATGAGATACTTTGAGCTGTCACAAATTGTGCCGTTTTGGTGTATTACGTGCGAGTGGGTCATTGAGAGGAGTCCGTAGTGCTCTACATCTGTATACAGTGCCACAGCAGGATTGGAAGCGATG